TTCGTAGCTCAGGTCTCTGTTATATCGGCCATCTGCTTTCACAGAACAATTTTGGAAAAACCTGATGCACTCTGACTGCCCAGCAACAACTTAGCAGACACACAAAGTACAGCATTTAACTGCTATTAGTCAGTGTGGGGCATGTTGTGTTACTTATTCACATCTGAAGCTTTTAGTATCTTTAAAAAGTTGTCTCAAAACACGCATCAGACAGCCCTCTAATCACAACCGCTGTCAAAATAAAATGCCCACAGAGCCCTTGTTCTCTTGTCTCCTCTTTTCTTCTTTTTCCAGCATACGCACACACGCACACATCCACACATAAACAAGATTAATCACTGCCCAGGTCCAGCATGCTCCCTGCATTGACCTCTCCCTGCCTGACATCAGATCAGGACTGGGATACACATGTAATCTCCCATATCTCCCTCAGCCTCGGGAGCTGCTCTCGCTCCCTCATTGCAAACGCCCCCCAGGTGACCAGCGGATGTGATGGTGGTGGAGGAGGTGGGTAGTGGTGTATGTGCCCCAATCACACAAATCCACATTTTCACAGAAAAAACAAACAAGGCACCCAGAGGACTTTTACAGTCTTTCAGCAGCAAGCGCGTCCATCCCTGATGTTTCCCAGTGAAGAAAAAGTGATAAATGTGCTTTAAAAGACATTGTGGGTTTTGCTCTGGTGATTAAGCTTATTATCCATGCATCTCACTGTTGTTATTCGGCTGTGTGTTGAGCTAATAAATGTCAAATATGATTTGTCTGTCTGCGAGCAAGAAAATGCCGGGGCCGCTCTCTACAACACGAACACATACACTCATCTCAACTGTGCATGACATTTAGGCCTATAACGATAATTGCTTTCTCTGGAGCCTAAACTCTGATGGGAGTTGTTTCCACACTGTGTAATGCAATCGCAGCACCAGCCGAGCTGCTATAGATCCTCAGCTGCAGTGTGGCAGCTTGGCTTTTACCCATGAAAACCCAGCCAGTGGAAAATATTAATTATTATCCTTGTAGCTCATCTACTTTCCTTTACTTTAGAAGCGATTTAAAAAAAGGCAAAATCTGCTTAACTTGGAAAAGCACAGCAATTAATTGTGATCTAGTTTAACAAGGGCCCACTTTGACGTGTTAATGTGGCTAATTAACAGTCAATCAGGAAGTGATATGGACTTTGAGTGCCTGCCACTAGACATTAGCCACATTTCTATCCAAAGTACCCAAAGCTTCTACTTACAAAAACTTTTTAATGTAACTAAAAGGTGCCTTGAGAACAACGGTTGTCTGCATTTTCACTGTTCAAGCATCGGAGTACATTAGATGAAGTAATCTGCCGATGTTGTGACAGGTAAGTCTGAGCAGCGAGACGGCACTCTGGAGGATACAACCACTTTGGCAGAGGAAACTTGCCAAAGATACACACAACCGTGGTGAATTTTTGCAAGCTTTTTACCAGAATTGTCTGTGAGGGGGCAGAGATAGACGGGGTGAAATGTCAGCCAATCAGCACAGCAAGCCCCGCACCCAAAGTTGCTGAACTCTGAGAGAGTACAGCTGCAGAGCGGTGACTTTCAAGGGAATAAATCAATTTCCACAAACTTAGATGCTGCTCCCTCCAAAGGTTCCTGCAGTAAGTTAAGTGGTTGGTAATGAAGGTGCTGATGTGTTAATACCACATAGGGGTGTTTAACAAGGGCATGCGAATTCCACAGACACCACGGACACTTTACCGCAGAGTAATGTACTGTACTGACATACACATGAGCAAATATACATCTTTCTCCTAACTCGATGAGGTTTGTACTGCAGGCTAATTTGCTTTTATGACTGTCAACTGCCTGTTACTGCCAAATACCAACAGCAGAGAGGCTATGCCTGCACACACACACAATCTACTGCATGAACCACATGCCAAATCTGGGAATGATGCCCCCTGCAATGTTACCTAACATCATGTCAGTTTGTACAATGCATTAGAAAACAAACTGTCAGTCTGTCCCAGGGCAGCTGTGGCTACAACTGTAGCTGCCTTCACCAGTGTGTGAAGACATCTCATACTCAAGCTTTGTGTGTTGCTGACAAACATTTTCTACAATACTCCAGGGTGGAAACAATGTGGCTTCTAGTTATTATGTGAAAAGAAATCCTTTGGGTAAGGGTAGGGTCGACTTTCCTAATCTTTTGAACGTAGTCAACCTAAATCAGGAAGTTATGACATGCCAGCTTGTTACTTTTCCACTGTGTAAACACTTGGCAACTGTATTAGCAGAAAGTTTGCTGTAAACAATGTGGCTTATCATGAATGATTAACATGATTAACGTTGCAGGGAGATGGTCAGCACCTCAGCAGTTGGTAATTAAGTCATTATATCGTGATGGCACAAACAATAAAAGCTTTAAAAAAAAACCTTTGGAAACTGAAACGTTCAAGAGGACCTAAGTGTTTTTGTTTTTTTAAAACCAGAAAAAACTCTGAGAAGTTACTGGTCAGAGCCAAGATTTTTTTTTTTAAATCAAATTACCTGGCAGAGCTGCTACACCTGTGTTTACTGTTTAAATTTGTGAGCTGTAGACTTCACTCACACAAGACTTGACACTGGTTGGTGACTTCCTGAACCCCAGTTTCACACAAGAGACTCACAGCAACCTTCAGAAACCACTTGCCAAACCAGTCCTGGAATGCAACCAGCAGTTGCCAGGGGATCACAGTGTGGTCTGTAGGCTTGTTGACTGATGCTTTAGCAATCAGTTTCAGAGCAACTGCCACCACCTACAACTGGATAGTGAATACACATTTCCTTCATGACCTGTGGTTGCCAGATGATCAGTAAAGCGCCATTTCTATGAGGTACTTATCAACTTTGGTTCCTAGGTGGAAGTACCTGGTACCAGGTACTTTTTTAGCATCCTACGTTTGCTCAGTTGAGCTGAAAATATGACGTCAACAGACTGTATTCCACTGATTGGCCAAGGTATGACGCCACTGGATGAGTCATGAGTAGGGATGGGTTCTGTCATAAACAGTAGTAACCAGACC